CTACTCAGGAGGCTGACACACCAGAATCACTTGAACCAAGGAGGCGAAGGTTGCAGTGAGCCGAGATCATACCACTGAACTGCAGCCTGGGTGACAGAGTGAGATTCTGTCTCAAAAAAAAAAAAAAAAGATAGAAAAGGAAAAGGAATCAAAATAAAAGCCAGGAAACCACTGCTTTTTTAAGCTATACTTATTAAATTCTGTCTTTATAATATTTAACATACCTACTATGCACTGTGTACTTTGTCCACATGATTTAATACTCTGCAAATCAGTGTAAGCAGCATTATACAAATGAAATTGCTGTGAGTCAAGAAAGTTGTACTTGATTATAGGAACTGTCACTGTAATTTGAACCCAAACCTGACAGACTCCAAATCCTTTACAGCTTTCATGATGCTCCTCTACTTCTTTCTTTAAAGCAATTTTTACTACTAACGATGAATTCAATAAGAAAAAAACTTTGCAATAAAACTATTCATAAGTTTAAAATTAGAAGAGAAAACGTTTCTTTCTGTCTTCTACCAGGCAAAGAATAGTTCTGACTTCTTAAGAATCAATCTTAAAAATGGTAAGATTCAAGTGATTTGTTATAACATAGGCCAGACAAGAAGAAAGAACATTAGTAGTAAGACTAGTTACCCTTTATTAACACAGACAGCAGTAATGTTCACATTCTCTCATTCCTGAGAGGCTTAGAGCTCTAATGCCATTTTTAACTGAACCCACAGGGAAGATAATTAAGGCTGTCCATTTTCTCATTTTTCCCCTCTCTCTCTTTTACTTATTTTATATCCAGTGTAAGCTTACTCTGGTGCACAAAAAGACACTAGTGTCCAGAAGTTATCAAATAGGACTCCTGCAATTAAAATGGGCAAGGCATTTTGGACATGGGCTTCAAAATACAGGCTTGACCTATACCCATTAGGATGGCCACTCTCAAAAGAAAAGCAATGTTGGTGCGAATGTGGATAAACTGGAGCCCTTATGCTCTATGGGTGGAAATGTACAATGGTACAGCTGCCATGAACAGCAGTCTGGCAGCTCCTCAAAAACCTAAAAACAGAGGTCCATACAATCCAGCAACCCCATTTCGGGACAAATACCCAAAAGAACTGAAAGCAGGGACGTGAGGCGATCACTGTGTACCCATGTTCATAGAAAACATTATTCGTAACAGCCAAAAGGTCGAAGCAACCTACATGTCCATCAATGGAGAAATGAATAAATGAAACGCGGCATCCACATAAAGTGGAATGGTATTCAGCCTTCAAAGGGAGGAAAATTCTGACATGTGCTATAACATGGATGAACCCTGAGGACATGATGCTAAGTGAAATAAGCAAGTCACAAAAGACACACACTGGTGACTGAACGATTCCACTTACATGAGATACCTAATGTTCTTAACGCGACTAACTATACGTTTACCGATGAGTGAGACAGCAAATTTTATGTTACGTATATTTTGCCACAATTAAAAAACAAAAACAAAAATACAGGCTTGAAAACTGGTAAGAATGGGATATAAATCCTGGCTTCCCTTTTCTACATTCAAAGTCTGTGACTCCAGATAAGCTATTTATTGAATTATTGATGCTCAGACTCCTTATGTGAGGAATGGGGCTAATAACAGCATCTTCCTCTCCGGGTTATGAGGCTGATGTGAGTGCACACATGTCACATATTTAGCACAGTATGTGGCCCATGATAAGCATGCCATAAATGTTGACTTTGGGTCATAGCAGGAGGCCTGGAAGAGTCAGCCAAAGACAATTATATGTCATGATGTTAAAATCTGACACTAATTGTGATTATGTTTGTAAAAGGTATCTTCATCTTTTAGAGGTATTTGCTAGTATATTTCTAGATGAGATAAAGTGATAAATGGGATTTTCTTCAAAATAATCAAGGTGGAGGGAAGAGAGCATAGAGGACATAAGACTGGCTATGATTTGATGACTGCTCATGGGTAATAGGGATGTGGCATCATTATATTATTCTCTCTGCTTTTGCATATGCTTGAAAATGTTCACAACATTTTCATAAATAGATTTCCATAATGGAGTTTAAAAAGAATCCTTGACCCCAATCTTGGATGATGGCTTTCAGAGAATTTTTCAAACTATTACATGTTCATGGATTTGGTATAGCGGATTCTAGGTCCTGTCTAGCCACAGGTTTTCTCCAGGTGGAGTAACTGAACAGCATAGCAATTTTTCCACAGAAGTCTTAATGGTGTAAAAAGATCATCACGATCAGAGCTTACCACAAAATTAGGCTGCGTGTGAGCACATGATAAAAATATCAATGCTCTTAGCATCTTAAAACTGTGTTTTCCTCATTGCCTATTCTGTCCCTCTCACTAAAAACACGCACAAAACTTTCACTATTCCCACCATTTTGGTAACACCCATCTAGTCTGTTGTACTTCTCATCAGTTTCATCAAAAGCCATCAAGTGATTAGCCAGGTGTGGTGGTGCGTGCCTGTAACCACAGCTACTCGGGAGGCTGAGGCAGGAGAATCGCTTGAACCCAGGAGGTGAGGGTTGCAGTGAGATTGTGCCACTGCATTCCAGCCTGGGTGACAAGCAAAACTCTGTTTCAAAGAAAAAAAAAAAAAAGAGGTCAAGTGAGACAAAATAAGTCCAAAGCATAGTATATTTTGCTTTAGATACCAGGGAGACCAAAATGGAGTAGTGTTTCAGGCCAGGAGTTCACAATAAACTTGGGCAACAAAGTGAGACCGTGTCTCTACAAAAAAGAAAAAATATCAGCCAGGGCTGAGTATGGTGCCTCATGTCTGTAATTCCAGCACTTTGGGAGGCTGAGGTGGGCAGATCACCTGAGGGCAGGAGTTCGAGACCAGTCTGGCCAACATGGTGAAACCCTGTCTCTACCAAAAATAAAAAATTAGCTGGGCGTGGTGGCTTGTGCCTGTAATTCCAGGCACTCAGGAGGCTGAGGCATAAAAGCTGGAGGTAGAGGCTGTAGAGTGGAGATTGAGAGCCACTGGACTCCAGCTGGGGCAAAAGAGTGAGACTCCTGTCTCAAAAAAAAAAAAAAAAAAAAAAAAAAAAAAATTAGCCAGGATGGTGGTGCGTGCCTATAGTCCCAGCTACTCACGAGGTTGATGTGGGAGGATCACTTGAGACTGGGAGGCAGAGGTTGTAATGAACTATGATCATACCATTGCACTCTAGGCTGAGTGACAGAGGGAGACCCTCTCTCAAAAAATAATAAACAAAACCCCAAAACCAACAAAAGCCTTACTATTGTTCTTAACGTAAATACCCAAATCAATATTCCAACCCACTAGCCTCATGCTACAAGACTGTTTCTAGAGGCTCTGGTGGACCAGCAACCAACTGCCTTCCATCTTACGTGGGACTTTTGGGCCATTCTGGTTCAGAGTTGGGCTGGTGGTAGAACTGAAGATACCATTTTCTAGATTAGAAGAAAGAATGGCAGAGGAGAAAGGGTGCCCCAGAGAATTTAAATGGGGCTGCCCTTCTACATAGTAACACTACAGTCAAGGAACAAATAGAGGGGCACTCCATTTCCTTATTTATGTGTCACCCATGGTGACGTTTTAGAATACTACCTTTCCAAGAGGCAAACATGAAGGAATTCACTGAGGCAGAGTCTTTGAAATCATAATTTCCCCACCACTGCTACTTACTGAGAAAGACTTTTCACTGTGGCAATCTAAAATTAACCTCGTAAAGCATACTATGTGGAAAAACAAAAAAACTTAAAAAAATAAGCGGACCTCTTAAAACAATTTTCAAAGTATTGGCTAACATATAAAAAGCCAAATCTCTAGCAGGATCATTTAAATGCCAGAATAACTGCTTCCTCCTGGCCACCCATCCTATCTCCGAAGTATGACTTCTTTTCATCAACAGCAAAATGAGTGGTTATGTTTCTCAGGGTTTAGACTTATCCCCTGATTGTGCAGGCTGTACATTCGGTAGGATTTTGACAAACGCTACTCCACAGTGCTCCACTGTGGATTGGCCACGTGTGCAGAGCCTTCGTGGGCACCTGTCAAGCACATCTGAGGTATCACTCATATCAGACATGAGAGTCCAGTACCACAATCAGTGAGAACACAGACAATAGTATCATCTTTGTTGCTGTTGTCAAAGTGAAGCTGTACCCCCTTGATTTTAACCAACGTGTCCTTGCAATTTGTTTTGAGGGAGAAAATAATAAACTGATTAAAACAATTTTGGAGTTACACGGCAAGATAAAGATCAGTTATTTTTTCCCCATATGTTAAATCATTGCTATATGCTTTTTTTTAAAGCGCTTAACAATTGTGTTGGAGAAAGGACATCAAATGATGCTTAGAAATGTGATACACATTTTCATTTCACACTCCATCAGCTTTTACAACTGTAGCTCAATGAAATGTAAGAGAGAGCTTGGCAAACAGCCATATTTACCAAGGTATAAAATAGGGGTCAGGTTACTTTTTTATAGAAAGAAAAAAAAAAACATGTTTAATTTTCACTCCACATGACTAAAGCAGATCTCCAGCTAACACCCTTCTGAAAGGCACCATAACTGCATATATGATACGGTTTAGTGCCTGTTCAGCCGTGGATTTTTACTAGAGTATAAACAGCTTTGTAAAGCAAGAAAACACTCCTTTCCTCATCTCCTTCCACTCCGGGTCTACTGACATAGAAACATACTGCATCCGAGCATCTTTTGGTGTCAACGTTTTTACTGGCAAATAATGGCTTTCACCCTCTGCCGCTAACCTGGAAGCAGAAACAACTTATTTCCTTTCCAGCCAGAGAAGCAAAGCTATCGGCATCAGCAAAAACACATCTTTCCAATTCTGATTTCAATCTGTCAGAAAGGATTAAGGCCTCACGCATACATAAAAAGGGACTATACATGCTGACAGAAACATGGTCTGGAATTGCTGTGCCCCCACAGCTGCTGTTTCATGAGCAGGGCAGAGAGGAGAGCATCTTTCACTTACCTTCGTCAAACCCGAGACTTCTCCCTTTGCAAGCGGTTTGCTGATGGAAGGCGTGTACACTCTGGCATCTGACACTGGCCGCCCTTTCATAAAATGTTTGCCTGATTCATAGATGTCCACTTCAACCATTTTCCCCATGAATGCAGGGTTCTTTGGCACTAAAACCTTAAACACATTTTTTCAGAGCCTTAATTTTTGAAAATAAACATTTTACTTTAGAATAGTTTCAGATTTATAAAGATTATGGCAAAGATACTATGGAGAGCTCCTGTACACCCAGCTCCCAGGTTCCTTATTATTACCATCTTACATTAGTATGGTTCATTTGCCACAGTGAATGAGCCCACATTTATATATTACCAATACTGTTAACTGAAGGCATACTTGATTCTCCAGTTTTCCTCACTGTCCCTCACTGTCATTTGTTGTATTCTGGGATCCCCTCCAAAGCAGGCTGTATCTTCTAGCTGTTGAGGGGTCTGGGGAGCCTGCAGGAAGGAAAGGCGCTTCCGCAAGGGCTCCCGGGCCCCTGGATAGTGCTCTTCTAGTCAAGATGCACCTAGTGTCAGAAGGCACGTGGAAGACAGGCCTGGGAAATCCCCAGCCATCCGCCAGCTGCTTTTGGACAGGCCTTTCATAGTTTGCTCTTGGCTATTCCATGCAATGAGGAAGACTGAGACAATACGGATGAAAGCCTTATACTTTTAATACTTTCCAAGTGAGCTGTCAGAGGAACGGTTTGAAAAGATACTTCAAATACAGGGCTGCGCGTTTGTGTTCATGCATGTGTGTGCGCTGCGTACTGTGTTTTGGGGGAGAAGGAGGAATGTTTAAAATAACCTTCCAATAACCCGGAATACTGCCGTTTGGTGCTAAATGCCTCCTGAAACTGATGGCTGCCACTCATTTCCCTTGCTCTGTTAGAAAAAGCATGTGTTTGTCAGTCCTGGGACTCTACCTCCATGAAGAACCAGTAGGCTGAAGGGTACTTTGGCTTGTTCACAGCAAACTGTCAGACTGTCTCTTTCCACTAGAGATTCCTGATGAAAGCACGTGTTTACCTCGAGCAAACGCTTCCCTTCCTTTGGGACCTACAGGTAGCTCGTGTGCATGATGTGTCCCTCACACTTCTGTGTCAACACTGGAGCTGCTTGCCAGTCTTTTCAAGTCGGAATCCAAACTAAATAGACCGATTCTAATCCAGTAACGCTTGGATATCTAGATACAATCTTCACCTCTGGAACTCATCTTATTTAGAAAAAAATAACTCCTATAAAATCCTTTATATGCTTAGTTGTCAAGAGAGAAAAGTCAGATGAGAGCCAGGAGTTCCATGTCCAATCTCTCTGAGAGGCAAAATCGAATCTTGGTCTGAGTTTGATTTTTACGACCACTGAGTTCACTGCTTCATCAAAGTATAAGAAAAAGTTCACCTGGGTGGTGAATTACTTATGGCAGGCAAAACGAACTAAAAGAGCTTTAGTGTTGGGATATAAAAAGCCCTTTTAAATCAGTTTTTATAAAATAAGAAAATCTCTAGACCAAACTAACCCTGGGAGACTTGGTCCTATTCTGGGGGAAAATAACCCTCCTTGATCTGCTGCCTTGATCTGAATGAAGGGCTCAGTGTTTCCCCCTCCTCCCGTTTTAATAATTGGGAAAAGCCTGACTGCTTTCAATTGGAGGAAGCAGCTAACGAGGCATGCTACTGCCTTTAAAATGAAGGGAAAAAAGTTCCCTGCTGAGGCAAAACCCAGATGGCAAAAGAAAGGAGAGAGAGGAGGCGACCAAAATGCAATCAGGCTCCTCCCCAGGGCTGAGCAGAAGGTTGGCCTCAATGGGAAAATGGCCCTCTGGAGTGTATTAATGAGATGGGAAATGGGGAAGAGACGCAGCCCAGACGTGGAGGGCTGGGAGCCCTTCCTCAACCAGAGTGTCCATGCTGCTGAACACGGCATGTTTAGTCTGAGCTTTGAAAAGCTCCCCTATTTCCTGGGGACCCACTGCCCAGTCTGAGATGATTCCCTGGGGAATGTCAATGCTGGGGGCTTCAGCTCCTCCTTTCCTGCCTTCTCACACAGGCAGCCTGCTTCCTCCGCCCGTCCCTCATTCGACTGGCCCACATCGTCCTTCAGGGTCTTCTCAAGCTCTGATTCCAGCCAGGACCCAGAGCAAACATTTTTACCTCTTATCTGATGAGAAAGAAGCAAAAAAGGAGGAAGCTCCATTTAATTTTAATACAGTCCAGAAAGATCAATGAAAATCGCTGGACCCCCATGGGAGTCTCCCGCACAGGCTCTCATGGGATGGGCGAGGAGGGCATATCCCATCTCTTCCTTGACCTTGGCCCTTGCCAGGGACCATGACCCTGAAAGAGGCACTCTGTTTCCCTCAGTCACTTTTGAATTGCTCTCCCACCTGGAGGAGAAGAAACCCCGATGCTGAAACAGGAGTCAGGCTCCTTTGGGGGGCAAAGGCAGGCCAGCTTCGATGGGCACGGAAGGAAGGCTAGTAAGCGGGGTGCACCCTGGGGTGGCCCGCAAAGCTCCCACAGTGAAGCTGCTTGGATCCTCACACCGGTCCGCACAGTCGTTTATACAATTTGAGCTGAGTCCAAGGAAAAGACTCTTTTCCCTCTGCTCCCAGCATTTTTATCAAGGTAGAAGTTAAAAAAAAACAAATACTAAAACTAAACAAAACTGAAAAACCAACCAACTAACCTACTAAAAAAACTGCGGGTGACGTGCCGGTGAGAGGAAATCCCTGCCCTTTCATGCTGCTGTCGCCCATGCAGACATCCTTCCTGTCGTCTGAGCAGGACCTTCCCCTGCTTTGCCAGGGTGTGGGAATTCTGGCAGTGTTAATTGCCTGGTTCCAAACGCTCAAAAGCCTAAGGCTGGTCCTGTCAAAGATTAATGTGGACTAAAATCGACGAAATACACGTATTCCTTTGTGGAGAAGGTATTGTAGAGTAAGTCACAAAGACAAACCCGTGTTAGCCTGGCTGACTTGAGGCTTCAAAACAGCCTTGTTGTGACAAGATTCAACACTCTCCCCTTTAAATGCCCTGTGCTTCAACTTTCAGAACTCTTTCTCATTTTGGAGAAGACTCAAGAATACTGAAGTGCCTCTTACCTGCTCATAGAATCGATTGTGTGCAACATAAAACTTGGAATCAAAAGATTCTTCTGTTACTAACACTTGCTGTCTTTCACCAATCTGTGGAGACAAGGGGAGGGGGAACAGGGGAACGAAAAGGGTCAACACCTGTGAATCCAAAAATAAAAACAAAGGCCAGCTCAAGTAGGTCTAGACCAAATAGCATCTTCTCGAATTTAAAGTAGATTGTACATCGCTGGCTATTTAATGACGAACACCGCTCAAATCACGGATTCAGATTTTTTGAAAGACATTAATTATGTGGCAACATAAAATTAGCATGGTATAAACTCTTATTTTCCTACATAACTCTAAAACAGAACTTGATCTCCTTCAACATAAGTAAGATAATTAAAGCTTCTATGACATATAAAAATCTTCTAAATATCACTTTGTTTCCTGAAACAAAGTTGCAAAACAAGCCAGAACAAGCTGCTTCTAATCCAAATTCATGAAAATATTTTGGCAATATGAAAGAATAGTAATAAACATTAATTTGAGTTATGAGGGATGTAACACTAAAGAAAATGCCTCTGAACACTAGTCATCAGGACCCTGTACCTCCACATTTCATATCTTGCATACAATTCTGAAAGTACTGACTAACTCACAGAGCTATTTGCTTATTATATACCTTTTCTCTGTCACAGGCAACTGTCTCTTTGCTGCAGTCATGACCCCATGTTCATTTATTATTTTACAAAGAGAAAGACAGTAAAAATATGGAACTGTTAATTTTCTACAGGATTGGTGTACATTATGATCTCAGCACCCATTTTTAATAGCAAAGAAGTAAATCAGCCAAAACAAAGGGTAAAGCAGTGTGACTATTCTAAGGAAATTCTACCATTTCCAAGTTTATTCTACTGTGAAATGCAGCATTTAAAGTAGCAATTACTCTTTTTTTTTTTTTTTTTTAAGACAGACTCTTGCTCAGTCAACCCAGGCTGGAGTGCAGTGGTGCGATCTCGGCTCAATGCAACCTCAGCCTTCTGGGTTCCAATGATTCTCCTGCCTCAGCCTCTTGAGTAGCTTGGATTACAAGCATGTGCCACTATGCCAAGCTAATTTTTTTATTTTTAGTAGAGACAGGTTTCGCCACGCTGGCCAGGCTGGTCTTGAACTCCTGATCTCAGGTGATCTGCCCGTCTCAGTCTCCCAGCTTACAGGAGTAAGATACCACGTCAGGCCTCAATTACTCTTTTTACAAGGTTGTCAAAATTTCTGGCACAGGAAACGGACTGTACTGAATGATTGTGCTGGGGATTATTTTTACCATTGCTACTTAATAACTACAACTCCTGAAATTAAAGCCCAAATGGCAAGATAATTTTTTAAAATTCCTATTCTCATTTGTAGGGACTTGTCACCACGTTCAGGCGGTTACCATGAAGGAAACATAAACACAGCTGCACTAAACAGACCACCTAACAATTAAAAAAAACCATCAAACTCCCCTCTCCATCATACAATGCCAGTACCTCAATACACCATAATTTACTATCTAGTATACTAGTCAAAACGTAGCCTTCCTAGCCGAATGTTGTAAGGTCTCTGAGATGACACTTACTAAAGACTCTCTTCCACTCTCTGAAAAACAATGAAAGGTCTGGCAACATTAATTCCCTTAAAAAAATCAAGTAGCAAAAAAAGAAATTCCCCCCAACTTCCACATTGAGCTTCAATAACTCTTTTTATAGAAAAGAAGTGGTGAATACAGGGTCTCACTGAAGTATATTCTTCTAGAAGAAAACTGAGAATGTTTGCACACATTTCCCAGTGTGAGTTGCTTATGACTTGGGATAAGTATCTGTCAATGGTTCTTAAGGAAATCTGCAATTACACTTCATCTAACAACAAGTTTTCAGGAAATTAACAACAATATGAAATTGTAGAGCCACTGAAAACGATGCCGCTTCTTTCTTCTTATTAGAATCACTGTGGACAGTAAGGGCCATCATGTCTGGGCTGCTCTATTTCATCTGGAGATGATAACAATGACAGTAATATATACAGACTTAAAAAGCCAGGCTATGTTTATATACTAGAAAGCTGGAGTTTTAATCAGCCATAAGAGAACTATTTGTAGGTGAGTATTTAACTATTATTTCACAAAGAGACTCGTGAGAACTGCTACGTGCACGAATTCATAGTGGCAAACGCTTTTTCAGTCATCCTATTTGTAACCCCAACTGAGGACCCAGTCTCACTGGCAAGGCCCTTAAACATCTAAATAGCAGCCGGGCATGGTGGCTCATGCCTGTAATCCCTGCACTCTAGGAGGCAGAGGTGGGCAGAACACTTGAGTCCAGGAGTTTGAGACCTGCCAGGGTAACATGGCAAAACCCCGTTTCTATAAAAAAAAAAAAAAATACAGAAATTAGCTCAATGTGGGTGGTGTGCGCCTACAGTCCCAGTTACTTAAGAGGCTGAGGTGGGAGGATGGGTTGGGCCTGGCAGGTTGAGGCTGCAGTGAGTTGTGATCATTCTACTTCCTGCATTCTAGCATGGGTGATTGAGCAAGACTCTGTCTCAAATAAATACATAAATAAAATAAAATAAAACAAAACATCTCCAGAGGCCAGGCACAATGGCATGTTTGTAATCCCAGCACTGTGGGAGGCCAGGGTGGGTGGATAACTTGAGGCCAGGAATTCAAGACCTGCCTGGCCAACATGGTGAATCCCTGTTTCTATTGAAAATACAATTAGCCAGGCATGGTGGCATGTGCCTGTAATCCCAGCTACTCGGGAGGCTGAGGTGGGAGGATTGATTGAACCCGGGAGGCAGAGGTTGCAGTGAGATGAGATTGCACCACTGCACTCCAGCTTGGGGGACAGGGTGAGACTACTGTCTCAAACAAAGGAAAAGAAAAAAGAAAAGAAAAGAAAAATCTCCAGAACATACTGAGCAAAAACAAGCCTAAGGAAACTAGGGCTTTGATTAAAACCTGCTGCGAGCCATCCCAGCCCCTTAAAATAAATATATATATTATAAATATATAAAACTTGCTTGAGCCCGGGAGTTGGAGGCTGCAGTAAGCTTTGATCATGTCACTGCACTCTAGTTTGGGCAACAGAGTGAGAACCTATCTCAACAAAGGAACAAACAAAAAATAATAAATGCTTTCCTCAATATTTTTTAATGAAGTCACATTGATGTGAATATCAAATATAACCTTTAAGAGAATCAACTGTTTCAAATAATATTAAAGTCAACACCAAAGTTAGGGAAGAATGAGTTCAGATGAAACTCTGGAAGATGCCACTTCACCTGGGTTGCAAATGAAATTGTGGGCTAAGCGAATATATACAAGCCTCACTTTCTTTTTAAAGTGAGCAGCTTCACCTACGTTTTCCAACTATTGTCTCTCCCACGCCATATGGTAGCCCTGTGTGGTTAAAGACCCTTATATAGGCCAGGTGTGGTGGCTCATGCCTGTAATCCCAGCACTTTGGGAGACTGAGGTGGGTGGATCACGAGGTTAGGAGATCGAGATTATCCAGGCTAACATCTCTACTAAAACCCCATCTCTACTAAAATTACCAAAAACATTAGCTGGGCATGGTGGTATGTGCCTGCAGTCCCAGGAGAATCACTTGAACCTGGATGGGGAGGTTGCAGTGAGCTGAGATTGCACCACTGCACTGCAGCCTGAGTGACAGAGCAAGACTCCGGCTCAAAAAAAACCCAACAAAATCTCATATAACAAGATTGAGAGTAAAATCATCCTAGCTTGCCATATCCAAAGAGTGCTTCTGTTATCAGAGCAAGGGCGTTCTAGTCACAGAAAAAGACAGGGCATCTTGGAGAAAAGTGTCAAGGCTACAGATATCCTCAGACCTCTAGGACCACACCAATCCGTTATTACGCCAATGGAAGAGCCAGTCCAGTAGAAGGGATCAGAGTTTATCTTAAAGAGAGTCTACACTCATCTGAGAAGCAAACTTCCAGGGCTGCCTCACCATCACTGACAACTCCTTGCCTAACGGCTGAAACTACCAGCGGGAAAACGTTACATCACTGTGAAAACTGGACAAAATCCTGCAAGTAAGGAAGAAGCTGAAAGCCATGGTGTTCATAAGGTGTGTGACTGGTGGCCTGTTATGGTTTGTCCTGCCAAAACTCATGCTGAAATTTAATAGCTAATGAAACAGTCTTGAGAGGCAGTGTCTTTAAGAAGTGATTAGGTCATTAAGATTTGTTAATGTCTTGCTTCAGGGACTGAACTGGTTCTTGAGGGAACGGGTAAGCTCCCGTGAGAGCGGGCTATTATAATGTGAGGCTGCCTTTTATGTCTGGTCTCTCTGAAAGCCCTTGTGCTTTCTGCTGAGTTGATATTTAACGGGCTGCCTGATCCTGGACTTCTCAACCTCTAGAATCGTGAGCCAAATAAACTTCTTTTCCTTATCAATTATCCAGTCTTGGGTATTCTGTCATAGCAACAGAAAATGAACCAAGGGCACAATATAACTGCTCAGCAGAAATGATAAAGATACAACTGAAATTCTAAGTCCGAAGAATGGTCTAGTGGGTGCATCAAGAGAATTGTAACATTCAAGGATAGAAAGAAAGAGGAAAAGGATTTGGATGGGCGATGAAAGGTCAGAAGCAGTAGCGCATAGTTCTAGCAGAACCTCAGTGAAAAGAGTCTGAAGAGGGTTCTTTGAAATCCACAGATGCTACATATTTGGACTGGTCAGAAGGGGACAAAGACACAGGGTCTGAGTAGATGATTTTTGAGATGACAGAGACCTATGTTTTGAGCCTTCACTTTCCTCACCTAAAAATGAGAAGTTGGTAGAAGTGGGATGGAAGTAGGCAGAAGGGAGCAGGGTGCCAAAGGGGAGGTGGATTACAGTATTTAAAGGATCCTTCAATTACAAAGTTTAAGTCATTGGTGAAGATAGACCTGCAGGTTAGGGATGGCATGTTCAAATCTTTCCTGGGAATTAGCTGAAGGAAATTACGTACTCCAAATCAAGCCCCCCCCCCCCCCTCTCTCTCTCTCTCTCTCTCTCTCTAGCAGTGAATATATGCTTACAGCCCTCTGCAAATTA